AGAGACTGAGTGTCATTTTCCAGGAACAGTACAAAGGCCAGTTTGCCAGGATTGTAGAGTGTGTGAATTAGCCATATGGTTAGTCAACTCATTCACATGGAATTATATTTAGTTTTTTTTTTTTAAATAGTATTTTATCCCCCCCCCCCGCCAATTACATGTCTGTTCTTTAGTTGTAAAGCTTCTAACTAGCAAAATTGTAACTAAAAAAAACTGGAAACGATGGGAAGATTAAAAAAGGACAGTTGGGTTCATAACTGCAGTAAACATAGATTTCTTATTTTTTTTTCTCATAAAGAAATATGTATCACTGACTATCAAGAAACTCTGCTATGAGACACTGATGGAGTGGAAAAGTCAGCAGCGAAGAAGCTGAGTGGAAATAAACAATCAGGAGTGTAAACTAGTAGGAAGGATTCAGCTGCTGATTGGAAGAGGGCCTTGGCTTTGAGAACTCCTCTTGCAAAGAGAGTTGAATTCTGGGGCTGTTTGAGTTTATCGCCTGCCAGCATCCTCTAAAGCTCTGGCAGAGGTGCCTCGTTCTTCTCTGCTGCCTCTTATGTTTTGAGAGGGAGAAACAGAGGGGGAAAATACATTTTTCGAATAGTTTTGCAGTCAGCTCTGTTGTAAGGAGAGGCTCAGAGCTGATTGGACAAAGTCAAACCCCATTGAGAGAGTTGTCTGACTTGTCGGCCATACCCAAGGAGTTTTGCTGTGAGCTCTGCTTTCTTTTAAAGAGACCTGAGTGGATAAGAATTGATTAGACCAAGAAGAATCCTGATGTGTGAGGAGCTAGTTGGACAGCCAATCTGAGTAGCTGGGCAGTTTCCATGACTTCAAGGCCGCTGCTTGTTACTACAATAGCAAAACAATTTCTCAGCACCTCGTTAAAGGTGACTGTTAGGAAAATAGGGAGAAGGGGGATAAGAGAGCAGGGGGATGATAGAGGGGAGGGCAGATAGGGGTAGGGGGTAATCAGAAGCAAACACTTCTCAGGAGGGTCAGGGTCAAAAGAGAGAATAGAATAAACAGGGGGGCGGGATAGGATGAAGGGAAATATAGTTAGTTTTTCACAACATGACTACTATGGAAGTATTTTGCATGACTATACATATATAACCTGTATCGAGTTGCTTGCCTTCTCAATGAGGGTGGCTGGGGAAGGAGGAAGGGAGAAAATTGGGAACCCAGAGTTTTAGAAACAAATGTTAAAAATTGTTTCCACGTGCAACTGGGAAATAAGATATACAGGCAATGATATAGAAATCTATCCTGCCCTACAGGAAAATAGAAGGGGAAAGGGATAAAAGAAGTGGGGGAATACAAGGGAAAGCAGATTAGGGGAAGGGGTATTCAGAATGCATGCCATCTTGAGGTGGGGGGAGAGCCAAGATGGGGAAAAATTTGGAGCTCAAAATCCTGTGGAAGTGATTGTTGAAAACTAAAAATAAATAAATTAATAAAATTGAAAAAAAAAAGGTGACTATTAATTAAAAGAACTTGTCACTGCCACATTCACTGATAGAGAGTAAAAGAGAAAAGGATTTTCCTACTACAAGAGACCAGAAGAGAGCTAGCAGAGGAGTGGTTTTGTGGGGTACAGATTATTCCTGAAAGCCTTGATATCAGAGGGTTGTGGGTTGCCCCAACCACATGGCTTTTCCTTTCATTTAGCTCCCTGCTAGGTTTCTAGAAGTGCATGCCCATTCTTTCCCATGGACGTGGTATACACTGGTAGGAGAGTGTGACCCAGATTTATGGGTATACTTATTTATGCCATGATATGATTATAATAACTATTGTTTTAACATTAAGGAAATATTTTATTTGAGTTAATGGTGTTATGGTGACTGATTCTGTGTAGATAAGAAGCTTACTTGTGGTAGCTCAGGAACTACAATGGCACATAGTAATAGTATATCTCTCCCTTCTCCCCTTCCCCCCACCCCCTAGGATTTTGAAAGGGTACTGAGTAGTAACTGCTTAGTACTGATCCTTCTCTGGTAAGCCTTGACCTACAGGTGTGAGGGTAGGATGAAGTGAGCCAGCCAATCCAGAGTGCAAGAGTGAGGATTACTATATTATAATGTTGTAGTAGGGCAGGTAGGTGGCACACTGGAGTTAGGGAGACCTGAATTCAAATTCTACCTCAGACACTCACTAGCAGTGTGACCCTGGGCAAGTCATTTAACCCTGTTTGCCTCAGTTTCCTCATCTGTAAAAACAGCTGGCGAAGGAAATGGCAAGCCACTCCAGTATCTTTGCCAGGAAAACCCCAAATGGGGTCTTGAAGTCAGACATGACTGAACGACTTACATCTGCATTTTCAGGACATTAGTAATCAATGTTTCATCCTGGTCCCAACCAGGAGAGGGAAAAAATAGGTCCATCTTCTGTACTATTGAATTGATGCTTCTTTCTTGGGGACTTTGAGAGCAGCATTTCATAATTCTCAGCGAAATAGTCAGAGCTATATCTGAGAAGCAAGAACAATTGAATATCTGAAGTCTTTTTACACTCATGTGACTCCATCAGCTAGATCAGAAAATGTCAGGCCAGAGGAAGATCCTTTATTGAAAGGAGGGATCAGTACTCAGGCTGATACATGGCTCTAACAGTGAGGAATTATGTGGACCTAATTGCTATAAATATGCCTTCCATCAAGGCTCACTTTTTCCTAGGTGCCATCTTATCTCATTAGCTCATGGGGAGACTAGATACTTAGTCCCTTCAAGCAGCTTTTAAACCCCTAGGAGAGGATATGAGTAGGAAAATTCACTTTCAGCAGGGACAAAAAAACCTATTTAGGTTTGCCTTAGAGCATATAACCTATTGGCATCTCCCCTCAATGATTATCTTCATACTTTTATAGCTGATTTCACCCAATACATACCCAGGGCCCATGAAAACACTCAGTGACAGAGGTGGAGAACACTTTGATGGATGGCAAAACTAAGGCTTATGGAAAAAAGTACTTATTCACACTTACCTAGCTAGTCATCATGGTGTAGTGGACCAATCTTACTCATTCTTCAAGACTGAGCTCAAGTGCCGCCTCTCCAATGAAGCCTTCTCTGATTCTCTCCCCTACTCCCAGTTAGCATCAACAATGATCTCTCAATCTCTCTCTCTTTCTCTCCTTGGAAATTTCACTGCACTTTGTAGCTTTTTTTCATCCTTGTCAGATTCAATTTTTCTTGCAGTTTTTCACAGTCACCTTTCTATTAGTTTACATACCCCTTGAAAGGAGACAGTTGTATTTCATTTATTGCTGTTGGTAACCAGCAAGTAAAGAGTTTTGCACATAGTAAGTGTTTATACAATGTGAAGTTTATTGGATTTGTTCCATATCATGGTAGGTGACATGGTTTAATGGGCAGAGAACGGGACTAGGAGGCAGAGAACCTGCCAAAGTCTAACCTTGACACTAACTAACCTGAGATTCTGAGCAAGTCAACTTAAATTTTTTTAAATAAGCATTTATTATCTCTCCTCACTTCCCCACCCCCAATGAAGATATATTTAAAACATTTTTATTTTCAGTTTCAGATTCTCTCCCTCCCTCACTCCCTTCCCCACTCATTAAGGCAAGAGATACAATACTAATAATGCACACCCCATTGAACATTAAAAAAAGAAAAAAACCCTTATAATAAAGAAAATATGCATTGTCCAGCAAGACAAATTCCTGCATTAGGTTCACCCCCAAAATCTATGTCTTATTTTATATTTCCAGGCAATCACCTCTTTGGCAGGATAAGTGTTTTTGACTTCAATTCTCTGAAATTCCTTGATCAGAATTCTAACATTTTTCAAAGCTGCTTTTCCGTATAATGAGTGCGGTTGTCATTGTCTAAATTGTTTTTCTACTTCTGTTCACTTTGCATGCGTTCAAAGAGGTCTTCCTAGTTCCTCTGAAACTATTTCATCATTTCTTATGGGATAATAATATCTCATTATATTCATAAACTATAATTTGTTCCAAGTCATTTTAAAGAAATGAAAACCTTATTTGCTTCAATTTCCACATAGGTAAGCTGGGGGATAATGATGTCTTTAACCTACGTCACAGAGTTGCTGGGAGAATCAAATGAGATAAAGATATGAAGATGCTTCAGAGAGCACAAAACATAAAGCATAAAAAGGGCAAGGTATTATATTTGGGTACCAGATATGTGGGGCATCTAGATGACTCAGTGGATAGAGCACTGGGCCTGGAGTCAGGAAAATGTGAGTTCAAATCTGGCCTCAGATACTGACCAGTTATGTCACCCTGGGAAAGTCACTTAACCTCTGTTAGCCTTAATCCACTGGGAGGAAATGGCAAACCACTCCAGGGTCTTTGCCAAGAAAATCCCCTGGACAGTACAGGCGTCCTATGGTCCATTGCATCCAATGGTCACAAAGCATCCAATGTGACTGAACAACTCCTGATATGTAGTACATTACAGTATACTAGTTAGCTAGGTATTTGTCTTTGTATTTCTACAATGATCCAGGAGGGCCTCCTTTTCACATAATATTACTAATAGCTAACTATATATATAGCACTTACTATGTGCGGGGCATTGTGCTAAATGCTTTAAAATTATTATCTCGTTTTATCCTTACAACTCTGTGAGGTAGGTTACTTTTAAGCTATTATTATCCCCATTTTGCAGACTAAATTGCTCCCCTGTCTTGAGAAGAGTAACTTGCATGGACTTTAGCTATTATTTCTGTTGTATTTCAACCAATCAATTAATCAAAAAGCATTTATTAAGCACCTACTGTGAGCCAGCATGAGCACTAAGGATGCAAGGAAGGTAAAAGCATGGTCCCTGCCCCCAACGAACTCATCTTCTAATGTGGGAGACAACATGCAAAAATTGTACATTCAAGATCTATGCAGTCTAAATGAAAGTTAATCTCAAATCTCAAAACCATTGTGCTAGGCACTGAGGATATAAATTTTGGAAATGAATGATGTATAATGTACATAATTTGCTTTTTCCTTTTAGAAATGCAGAACCTTCTGAAAAGCATTTTCGAATGAATAGCTTTGTTACAGACTTTGGAAGGCCTCGGGAGCCGGATAAGATATTTTCTCGCCCAGCAACCTCTGAGTCCAGATTTCTCTTCCATTGCTATATCAATGAAGTAGACCAGTTGGATAAGCCAAAGACAAGTCACAAAGCGACTGCTGTGGATGCTGATGAACTCTTCCAGGAGGGATCCCGAAGCAGCGGGAGACTAGAAGAAGAGGACCTGACCCAGATGAGCAAATTCAACATCCCCAACTTTGTGAACACTGACCCAAACTCCTCCTTTGGGGAGGATGATCTCCTGATTTCTGAGCCACCAATTGTTCTAGAAAACAAGCCAATAGCCCAGACCTCCCATGAAGTCCTAGATTAAGAAACATTTGCTAAAGGAATGTCATAGGTCCATGTACTGCTTCACAAGGGATTTTCTTCATGGGCAGCTTCAGATTTGTTTCAGGGGTGTGTGTGTGTGTGTGTGTGTGTGTGTGTGTGTGTGTGTGTGAGAGAGAGAGAGAGAGAGAGAGAGAGAGAGGGAGAGAGAGAGTGTGTACTTGTTTGGTGTTTTGGACTTTTTTCGGGGAAAAGAATTTAGACTATCACACTTTTGGCGGGTTGGAAATGGTTTAATCCCTTGTAAATTGAGAGGCAGTCTGCACAGTGGATAGACAACTGGATGTAGAGTTAGAAAGACCACATTCAAGTCCTCCCTCTGACATACACCGGCTGTGTGATCCTAGTCAAGTCTCATTATTCTAGGCAACTCTAGAAGACTGGGAGTCTTAGAAAGTACCAGCCTGCTTTGGTGGAAGGTGTTTCTCATCCAGGAGTTCATCCCCTTTATCAAAGAAGTCACAGGCCTAGTTCCTATCCTATGTATTATACTAGTTGGTTTAAGTCCTTATAGGCAGGGCTATGTTAAGCCAGTGTGAATGAATGAATACCCTCTCCTCTCCTGTTCTGGGAGTCTACAAAAAGGGCCTTATCACTGGTGGGCCCTTTGCCCAATTATTAAACATAGCTCTTTGAGTAGTGGAGGCAGTAGGGGTGTGCCTGAGGGGTGAGAATCCATTTCCTAAGAGCATCACAGTTAGCCATTAACCAAAGTGTCAACTGCCTTGTCCTACACCAGGTGTTCTTACTCAATTGGATATACCTGCTGTAATTTCCCCAAAGAGTGAGTGGTGGGACGTGGCTGGTGTCGGGCTTTGTGTCTGTGATACAGACCTGAATTCAAATCCTGCCTCAAACACTCTTTAGTTGTACCAATCTGACAAGCCATTGAACTCAGAACCTCAGTTTGCTCATCTGTAAAAGGGGATGATGATGATGATAATAGGATCCACTTCACAGGGCTGTTGTGAGAATCTATTGAGATAATATATGTAAAGTGCTTTGCATACCTTAAAGTGCTTTATAAATGTTAGCTATTATTACTACTATTGCTATTATTATTTTTAAATTGCCTTTAGGATACATCTGACCAGCACTCCTCCTCACAAGAAGGTGCTCAAGCTTAGTTTGTCTGGCTTTTAATAGGGCTGTTTCCTGCTGTTAACCCTAGCTAGTCACACTGTCTTGTCATCATGGTTGCCATTTTCTATAAATTGATAGAAAGCATTCTTCGTGGGCCAGTTCTCCTTAACTGGCCAAAGCATGAAGTTGGGTATTCTTGCCAGGACAGGGATTTTGGACCCAGAATACCACGGATGCTGTACAAAACACCAGTGGCAATTCATTCACATCCCCAAATATCCTGCATGTATAAAGCAAGCCTGAAGCCTGGGACAGAATGGAATTCAGCTTTGCTCAGACAGAGTGGCCTGGGAGGCTGACTACTAATTTGTAAGGACATTTTTGCTATGAAATCTTTCGCTACCTGTGATGAAAAACCAACCCCTTTCTGCCTTGTACTGAGTGTAAAATAAACATGTTCAGTTGCATATTACTTTGCTGCTCAGCTATGACACCTCTGTATTTTTTTTTTTACACGCTCTTCGGACATGATGCCTCTTTTGGCTCTTAATTATTTATTTCCCTTGGTAGCTAACTGGTGAAAACACATGGTACCCCAATAATGTTTTACACCAGCTCTAGTCCCTGTTTTTGTAATAGGGGCAGCTAGGTGGCACAGTGGATAGAGTGCCAGGCCTGGAGTCAGGAAGACTCATCTACTTGAGGTCAAGTCTGGCCTCAGACACTTATTAGCTATTGTGACCCCGGGCAAGTCACTTAACCCTGTTTGCCTCAGTTTCCTTATCTGTCAAATGAGCTAGAGAAGGAAATGGCAAACCACTCCAGTATCTTTACCAAGAAAACCCCCAATGGGGTCTTGAAGAGTTGAAAACAACTGAACAACAACAAACAACAGTCCCTTTTAATTAAAACAACAACAACAAATTACCATTCTTCAACATTTCCCCCTCCCCAGTATCCCTAAGGAAAACATTAGTCTTGAGGATACAAAGTGCCCTGTAGCATAGCCCGGCTTGAAATCTCTTTGTTCCTGCTAAGATTGCCATCGTGAATCTTTGGAAATAGCCTTACCCTGGAAGTCTAATGCTTACCCCAAAGAGGAATCAAACCTAATTAGAGCAATTTTACTTACACAAATACTACTCAGATGTGGAACAGGAAGGTTGAAAAAGAAAAGCCGTTGGCCTGGTTCTTTTAAAAACATTTCAATATTATTTTAGTACTCTTAATTATAAGTGGATGAATTAAGTGTTAGGAAATGAAAGAATGGTTAAAACATAAAGAAAATATTTACAATTACTTAAGGCAAAGGTTCTTTGCCTAAGGACCAATGGATAGCTTTAGGAAAGGGGTGGAAAGGAGGTGGGAAGGGTATCTGCGAACTTGGATGAGAAAAAAATTTCCATCTTTAGTTTCAGTAACTTTGGTTTCCTTTGTAATACTACATATTTTATTTTATGCATTTAAAAACATTTTGAGAAGGGGCCCATAGTCTTCATCAGACAGCCAAAGGGTTTATCACACATAAGAAGTTAAGAACCCCTGATTTAGGGAATGTTTTTTTTTCCACCTATCAGTTCAAGAATTTTGAGGGGAGGGGTAGGATGAAGTAATAGAAAGTTGGCCTGGGCCTGTGTAGGGAGCTTAGGGCATGGGAACTCACTCCATCCATGCGTTTGGCAACTTGTCTGTACAATTTATAATTCTAAGAGAGTTATCTGGACCATTGAATGGTTAAGTCACCTGCCCAGGGAGACACAGCTTGTTATGTGTCAGAATCTAGGTGTTTCTGATTCCAAGGCTGGCTCTTTACATCCACACTGCTTCTCATCATTTCAATATAAAGTATGAAACAAAATTAACAGCAACTTGAGTATATTGAATGATGTGATGCTTTTTAGTTATTTTTAAAGCAAATCTTGAAAAAAAAACAGTCCAAATTAACGTTGGTTTTGTGGTTGTTTTGTCTCTACTTGCTCTCTATAAATACATTGCCACCTCTGTTAAATTTATGTGGATTCATTCCTTTTGAAAATTGCAAGAGGTCCATCCCACTCCCACCCCAAACTCCCCCTTTTAGGTAAATGCTACCTAATAATTCTTGGAACACTTTGTCTCTCAGAAATCACTGTTGCTGAGACCTAGGGGGCTGAGACATGGACAGCCCATTTGTGGTAAAATGGCAGAGTAATAGTTTAGAGCAGAGAGAGAGGCAGCCTAGAAATATCCACTTAAAACTGTTGAGGAAGGTAGACTCTGGAAGATAAGACCAAGAGTACAGTATGATGGAAGGAAAAAAAAGACAAGCCAATGGACCAGGGGGACAGTGGGTCCAGTTTTATATCTCACCTCTGTCATTTTTTTACCTTTGTCACATTGGACCAGGGAAGGGGACTCTGCCTTGAACAAATCCCAATCTCAGTTTCCAAATCAATGAGGTAGTTAGTTTAAATGGCCTCTACGGGACTTTTCAGAGCTATGTTCCTATGATCCTTCTATGCTCTTATGATCCTCTCATCCTCTTCAGCTTTTGAGGTTATCCCGAAGATCTCTCTCTAGACAGCAGAAGTAGGGTAGTCACCATGCAGTGACAATGCATGCTTGTCTTACTCAGTCTTGCCTCGGTGAGGTATAGGGCAGCAAGTGGGAATCTGCAAGCACTAACTGATCTGCCCTAGGCAGAGTGTGGGATGATGGGCTGCATTAGAAAGACAGTTAGTTGTAATTCAGTGGTAAATGCATTTTGATGATGAAGAAAGCTTCCACTTCAGAAATTCTTCTACTCTCCTGATTTTCCAGGGTGACAGTGATTTACTCAGCCTTATCCCTGCTTTGCGTGGTCTAGTGAGCTCAAGAGAGGTTCCTGGCAAAGAGAGGTAAGCCTCTATAGTCAGGAAGAGCTGAGTTCAAATCCGGCCTCAGGCTTACTAGGTATGTAACTCTGGGCAAGTCACTTAACCATGTTTGTCTCAGTTTCCTCATCTGTAAAATGAACTGGACAAGGAAATGGCAAACCTGTATCCAGTATCTTTGCCAAGAAAACCACAAATGGGATCACAAAGAGTTGGATACAACTGAACAATAACAACAAGAACACATTTTAATCCCAGACTGTCCTTTACTGAATCTTGATGGGGACTCGAAAGCAGATGAGAACCAGGATTTTGGTGTCGTGCTATGGAGAAGCCAAGTGTCCGGTATTGAAGAGCTCCTGGTAATAGCTTTTTTGGGTAGGCCATTTATCCTCCCCTACCATATTGCTCCTCTCAGTTGGGTGAGAATTTGCATGATGCAACATATGTCCTTGGTGGAAGCCTTGTAGGTTCCCAGGAGACTCAGCGGGCATCTAGTTCCCTTTCCCTCTCCTCCATTTCATTGTTAAGAAAATGGAGGCCCAGGAAGATGAGTGACTTGCCCAAGGTCATCAGAGAGTACACTAACACACTGCCTCCCCAAGACACCGTGCTTCTATCTGGTGGGAAGGTTTTTAGGCCCAAATCAGCTCAAATAGGAATCAGCACCATTAAAAACTGGCAGCAAGTCTGAACAGGATTGCTGCTAACTGGTGTGGAGCTAAAGGGACAGAGCACTGCCTGGAGTCAGAATGGTTTGAGTTAGAATGTGTGACTCTGGGCAAGTCACTTCACCTGTCTGACTTGGTCCGTAAAATGAGGATAATAATAGTGCTCATCTCCCTGGATCGTTGTGAGGGCAAAATACATGGTATTTATAAAGTGCTGTAGACTTTAGAGCAGTGTGTAAATCCCAGTCATTATTATTTTAACTGACTTGGAGGGGTAACTTACTCTTTTGGCCCATTGCAGTTAGAAATCTTTATAGGCTATTCCACATCAGATGATGGGTAAGCATTAATTATATCCAAAGGACTTCTCTAATGGGCTTCCTTAACTCTAATTATGATAAAATTCCCAGTAAAGGCCTGCTGAAGGGCCATGAACATTTTTAAAAGGAAAAAGGCATTTTTTTTTAAGATCTTAGGAGATTTTGAGATTTACTCCGACACTACAGAACTACTTCTTTCCTCCCTCCTTCAAATAACATATTACACAGTTGTGCTCATAAGTTACATCTCCTAGAATAGCAGTACTAAAGCTATGGAAGAGATCAGTGGCACTCCCCTAATAATAAATCTCGAGCTAGATTGACCTCGGGGTCACCTAGTCTAACACCTCCATGTTGGAAATGAGGAAATGAGACCCAGGGAGATTTACATGACTTAACCAAAGTCATACATGCAGGGAGTAAGCATGAGTGGGGGGGGGGGGGAAGGATTATGAATCCAGCCCTGCTGATTCCCAAGTGCAGTATTCTTTCCCATGGAGTCTCCCAGGTGACCCACTTTCCATTTAGAGAGGACAGAGCCAGACTTAGTTACCTATTCTGTTTTTAATTATGGCTGAGAAGATTTAAGTCGACCTCATGTCTGTGTACCCAGAGCAAAGGTTAATGCTGATTCTACAAACATATCTTCTAAACAAACCACAACTGCAGTTCTAGGGATGAGTAGATAGAATGCTGAGTCTGGTGTCAGGGGATTTGAATCCTGCTTCTTATCCTGATTAGCTGGGTCACCTCTGGCCAAGTCACTTAAACTTCCTGAGTCTCAGTTTCCCCATCTGCATAAGGGGAAAACAATACCCAACCTAGAATACTTACTTTGTTACTGTTGTGAGAACTAAAAATAATAAAATAAATAACCAAAATAAAAAAATAATAAAAAAATAGCAGCTAAGTTTATATAGTGCTTTAGGGTTTGTAAAAATACTTTGCATACACTAACGTGATCCTCATTTCCCCCATTTTGCAGAAAAGAAAACGGAGGTTAATGAGGTTAAGTGATTTGCTCAGTATCACACTGTTAGTGTCTGAG